TCCATAGTCACCGTCTTTGTTAACATGTCTGCCGGATTTTGAGCTCCACTGATCTTTTCAAGTTTCAAAATCCCATCTTCCAGAAGAGACCGGATAAAATGATATCGCAATTGTATGTGCTTCGTCCTGTAATGAAAAGACAGATTCTTTGCTAGATGTATAGCACTTTGACTGTCGCAATACAAAACATTGTTCTCTTGCTTCTTGCCTAACTCTTCCAAGAAACTTTGGTGCCAAACCATCTCCTTGTTGGCTTCCGTAACAGCGACATATTCTGCTTCAGTTGTGGAGAGAGCAACTATCTTCTGTAGTTGAGAAACCCAACTCACTGTGGTTCCTCCTAGAGTATAGACATACCCTGTAGTGCTCCTTCTGATGTCAACATTTCCGGCTAAGTCAGCATCTACATAGCCTGTCAGTATCGTATCTCCACCTTTGAAACAAAGTGCTTTGTTTGTGGTACCCCGCAGGTATCTGAGGATCCATTTGATTGCTTCCCAGTGTACCTTGCCCGGATTATTCATGTACCTGCTAACAGCTCCCACTGCTTGAGCAATACCTGGTCTGGTACAAACCATAGCATATATCAGACTTCCAATTGCTGAGGCATACGACACCTTCACCATGTGTGCACGTTCTTCCTCCGTCTTTGGTGACTGTTCTTTGGAGAGTCTGAAATGAACGCCTAAAAGAATACTTACTGGTTTAGCATCTTGCATGTTGAACCTGAAGAGTACTTTGTTGATGTACTCAGCCTGTGATAATACCAGTCCCCGACTTTGTGTCTCTCTTGATCCTCATCCCAAGAATCTTCTTTGCAGCACCCATATCCTTCATAGCAAACTGCTTCGACAATTTTTGTTTTAAGTTTATAATCTCTTGCATGTCTAAGCCTGCAACGAGCATGTCATCAACGTACACCAATAAAATAATAAAGCTATTATCGAACCTCTTGATGTAGCAATAATGATCTGCTTGGCATCTGGTAAAACCATTGCTACACATGAAGCTATCGAACTTCTTGTACCACTGTCTAGGAGCTTGTTTTAAACCATACAAGCTCTTCTTCAACCTGCATACCAGGTTTTTCTTGCCTGCCTCTATGAAGCTTTCTGGCTACCTCATATAGATTTCTTCCTCCAAATGACCATGAAGGAAAGCTGTCTTCACATCTAACTGCTCAAGATATAAATTCTCTGCAGCTATAATTTTCAATACCAATCTAATTGTAGATAGCTTCACGACTAGAGAGAAAATTTCATTATAGTCAATACCTTCTTTTTGTTGAAAGTCTTTGACAACCAATCTTGCTTTGTAGCGTTTGCTCTCATCGTGCTCTTCTTTGATCTTGTAAATCCACTTGTTATGGAGTGCTTTCTTTCCTGGTGGTAATTCAGCTAATATCCACGTCTGATTTGACATAAGCGAGTCCATCTCATCTTTCATGGAGGACTCCCACTTGATTAAATCCTCTACCTGCATTGCTTCATCATAGCACTCTGGTTCACCATTGTTAGTCAGCAACAAGTAGTGCAAAGAAGGCGAATAACGTTGTGTTGGTTTCGGAATTATGGAGGAACGTCTCAGTTCTGGTGTGTCTGGTTCTTCTTGAACTGCTTCAGGACTGATTTGAACATCATTTCCAGAAATCTCCTCGAACTCAGCAAATTCCTTTGTTTCAGCTTCGGTATTGGAGCTACTTGATTCTATGGTTGCCCTGTCTTTGTACATCACATTCTCATTGAAAATAACATATCTGCTTCTGATGATCTTCCGATTTTCATAGTCCCAAAATCGGTAATCGAACTCATCACCAAAATAACCAACAAAGACACATTTGTTGGACTTGGCATCAAGTTTACTTCTTTCAGCAGAATCTATGTGTACATAAGAAATACAACCAAACACTCTTAAGTGTGAAAGGTTTATTTCTTTCTTGCTCCAAACTTCCTCTGGTATTCTGCCATCCAAAGGAACTGAGGGCCCACGGTTGATCAGGTAAGTTACAGTATTGATAGCTTCAGCCCATAGAAATTTGGGTAATCCGGCATGTATCCTCATGCTTCTGGCACGTTCATTCAGAGTTCTGTTCATGCTCTCTGCTACGCCATTCTGTTGCGGTGTCATGGGAACTATCGTCTCCATCTTGATCCCATTGTTTGCGCAGAAATCTCTGAAACTACGATTTTTGTACTCTCCTCCATTGTCAGACCTCAACCCCTTGATTTTCAGACCAGTCTCATTTTCCATCATGGCTACCATTTTATGAAGGTATCAAAGACTTCTGATTTTTTCTTTAGAAAATAAACCCACACCTTCCTCGTAGAATCATCGATGAAGGTGACATAATATAATGAGCCTGCAAGAGATGGAACTGAAGATGGTCCCCATACATCAGTATGAACCAACTCTAACTTTTCTGCCTTGGGTGTCTTGCCAAACTTTGCAAAATTGACTTTCTTTTGTTTGCCAAAGATGCAATCCTCGCATAGTCCGACAACTACATTCTTTAGATCCGGTAACTTCCCTTTTGATAAAAGTGTCTTCATCCCTTTCTCGCTCATATGGCCAAGCCTTTGGTTCCATAGGTTTGATTTTCCATCAGCATCTATTCTCTAAGTTTGAGGTTACATAGAGAGTATCAGTCTTCTTATCACGAGCAATGACGAGTGCTCCTTTGGTAATCTTCCATTCACAACCTGAAAAGGTTGTACTATAACCTTCACCATCAAGCTGTCCTACAGAAATCAGATTTCTTTTGAGGCCATGAATATGTCTCACTCCTTTCAGCGTCCAAGTGGTCTGGTTTGACAACTTTAGTCGGAGGTCTCCTTTTCCGACGATCTTCAAGGTTTAATCATCAGCTAGATGAACCTTCCCAAAATCACCACTTACATAGTTCTCCATGATTTCTAGGCATGGGGTGGAGTGGAAAGATGCCCCTGAATCCAAGATCCATGATTCAATCGGACTGTTGACTATCACTCTGAATTTAGATCTGCCACGATTTGAATATCACTCTGAAGTTCTCCCTCTAGACTCCGTGTGCAAGATTGAGGAGGTTGATGCTTCACCCGATTCTCTTCGTCGAATTTCTTCGCTCAATACCAGATCCAGAACATCGTCGAATTTCAATTTACTGTTTCTTGACAAGCTGTTGACTGCTGTAATAGTAGCATTCCAGCTGTCTGGTAGAGATGATAAGAGAATTAAAGCTCGAACTTCATCATCGAATTCAATTTCCACGGAACTCAACTGGGTTGTGATTGTGTTGAGTTCATTTAAGTGTTGAGCCACTGATGCCCCTTTCGCCATCCGCAAATTGAATAATCCCCTCATCAAATGAACTTTGTTTGAGGCCGATGGCTTCTCATACATACTGGAGAGAGCCGCCATAAGACCCGTCGTGGTCTTTTCCTTTGCTATGTTGAAAGTAACATTGCAGAATAACGTCAGTCGGATAACTCCGAGGGCTTGTCTATCGAGAAGAGCCCAATCTTCATTCTTCATGCCCTCTGGTTGTTTTCCTGAGAGAGCTTGATATAGATTTTTCTGGTACAGAAAATCTTCAATCTGCATCTTCCAAAATCCAAAGTCCGCACCATCGAACTTTTCAATTTTCACCTTCCCTTCGTCTGCAGCCATCGCTCCCACTCGAATCTGGCTTCTTTGGATTGTTTCTAACAATTTGTACGAACCACCGTGTATTATAACACCTCCGTCGAAAAACTCGTATCGCCGACAAAATTTTACTATTCACGAAATTCACTATTCACGTGAATTGTAATGAATACTAACCTCGCAAAAATTGACAAAATTCACAACCAAAAGCTCTGATTACCAGTTGTTGGGAAATAAAACGAATACGAGTAATTTCCTTATAACCAGATTAGTGAGAATGCGAAATAAAAGCGGAAAAATAATACCCGAAATTGATAACGGAGTTCAACCAATTTTGCCTACCTCTCCAGACTGCTACAGATCTTTTACTAAGAGAGAAAATTTACAAGTATTTACAAAACACTCACTACTCACAAGAAAGCTCTCTAGTAATGGGATAAAGAAATGATTTTTGGGATTTTGAGATGATTTTGAAACTAAATGGGATAGGGTATTTATAGTTGAAGCTTGAGGACTAATCTTATAAATACACTAAACTTCAATGACTCAATTTGGTGATTATCCCTTCAAAATTTCAACAATAAACATGCCAAACTTTGACAAAACAATAGAAGCCGGCTGCTGCCATATTTCCTTGACTTTAACAAAGGCCCCATGTGATTTAACGTTCCTGGCATTATTTCCTGGATAACACTCGTAATGTAGAGACATTAGAACAAGGACCGCTGAAATTGATAAACGCTCATCTCAAATGGAAGAAACAACAATTCTTTACTTGTCTCTTTCCCTTGTCTTCTCCTATGTTTAAATATGTTGTTTCAAATAAAGAAACACTGCAAAAACATCCCTCCATGCCCACCTTCACTCCCCATACTCGGCCACCTTCACCTTCTCAAACCTCCTTCCCACCGTTTCTACCATTCTCTTTCTCAAAAATATGGTCCAATCTTCTCCCTTCGCCTCGGCTCTTGGTTTGCGGTGGTGGTTTCATCTTCCACCCGGCAGAGAAATGTTTCACTAAGAACGATGTAGTTTTGGCTAATCGTCCCAAGTTTATCATGGGGAAGTACTTGGGCTACAACTACACCACACTTACATCCCCATCCTATGGCGATCATTGGCGCAACTTACGTCGTATCGGCGCCATTGAAATCTACTCATCTAGCCGTCTCAACGCCTTTGCAGGCGTTCGATTGTTGCGTGACTAGCGTCGAGGGTTTGCAAGAGTGGACCTCAAGTCCATGCTTCGTGACTTGACGTTCAATAATATAATGAGGGTGCTTGCGGGGAAAAGTTACTACGGAGATGAAGTGATGGATGACGATTAAGCGAGCGAATTTAGGGAGATTATACCAGAGGCGGTTAGCTATGGCGGATCGGGAAATCCTGCAGATTTCTTGCCTGTGTTGAATTGGTTTGGAGGGTTTGAAAAGAAGGTGAAGAAGCTTGGGGAAAAGATGGACGGATTGATGCAAAAGTTGATAGATCAGCACCGATGTAAGAGGCTGGACAATAATAAAAATTACAACAACAACAATAATAATAGTACGATCGACCACCTTCTTAACTTGCAACAATCTGATCCTCATTACTATACTGATGAAATCATCAAAGGACTCATGTTGGTAAGTTGGAATCTTCTTTGTTCAAGTTCCATCGTTTCAATCATCAAAACCCATGTTAATATCGATAGGAATCTTTATATCACCATGTCAATAACAAGCATGAATGCTGTGCAGGTGCTAATATTTGCAGGAATTGATACATCAGCGGTGACCTTAGAATGGGCAATGTCCAATTGCTAAACCATCCAGTTGTATTGAGGAGCTCTAAAGCTGAAATAGACAGTGAAATAGGGGAATAAAATCTAATCGATGAATTGGATCTCCCAAAGCTGAAATATCTTCAAGGTATTATATGTTCGAGACTCTTAGATCATACCCTGCAGCCCCTCTTCTGCTCCCACACGTGCCATCTAGTGATTGCACCGTTGGTGGATACGATGTTCCGCGTAGCACGATCGTGTTGGTGAATGCATGAGAAATTAGGGGGGATCCAAAATCATGGGAGGATCCAACAAGTTTCAAGCCAGAGAGATTTGCGAATGATGAGAAATTAGGGGTAGATGATGATTTATGGACACACAAGCTAATGCCATTTGGGTTAGGAAGAAGGGCATGTCCAGGAGCAGGGTAAGCTCAACGAGTGGTGGGCTTAACCTTAGGAGCATTGATTCAATGCTTTGAGTGGGAAAGGATTGATGGCATGCCAGTTGATATGGTTGAAGGAAAAGGAGGCACCATGCCAAAAGCTCACCCGTTAAAGGCTTTGTGCAAAGCTCGCCCCATTGTGGATAGAACTTTTTATATTAATTAGTTTAGAGTTTTTATTAGAAAAAGTTAAATATTTTTATTGATTGTACGTAGTTATAATGATGAATACCATTTTTTGCGCAATTCGTCCTATTTCATACCTAATTATAGGGGTGTAAATGAGACGAGACATATCGTGAGTTACTCGAGATCGACTCGAACTCAAGCTCAACTCAAATTCTTAACAAGCCGAAACGAGCTACTTGATACTCGGCTCGAAAAACTCGTGAGCAGATCGAAAATATAATATATTAAGATTTTATTAAAAAATAAATTATTAATAATATTAACATTTATGTGTTGATTTTTTTTAAAATACAATAAGGCTTTCATGTATTTAAGGTTCATATTTAAGTTTGAGTTTGATTATTCAATCTTGTTAAGTTTAAGAGTTTTTTTTTATTGAACTGCTCACGAGCTTCAATTCAGGATTTCGAGTTTGAGTCGAGCTTAAAAATTTTAAGCTCGCGAGTTTTCGAGTCGAGTTGATCTCCATTTCAGAGCTTTCGAGTCGAATTGATCTCAATAATACTCGAGCTCGACTTAGCTCGTTTACACCCCAACCGGATTAAATGGGATGAGTACGGGTTTCACATGTGGTAAAGGTAAAAAAATTGGAGATAAAAATTAAATAAATAATGTCAAAAAATATTTATGCGTTTCACTAAATAGTTATTTTTAGTCTCTATTTTTTTTTAAGTATTTTGGTTCCCAATGTTTTATTTTAGAGCAAAATATTACCTAATGTTTGACTAAATAGTTACTTCCTCCCTTATTCTTTTTTGAAATATTTTGTTACCAACGTTTCAGTTTATGACAAAAAGATTCATATTTTAGAGCATTTATCGTTTTTAGAATTTTTTTATCATTATACCAAAATTAAACATGTCATGGATAATGGTACGGGTGTGAATATGACCTTGTATCCCTTCATCGTTATCGTCTCGCATTATTATTTGTATTTGGATACTATGTAAGAACTTTATTTTTAAAAATTTTGATATCGCGTTGAAGTTATATTTTAATTTATCAACTATAATATCATGATAATTTTTTATTATTATTATTAAACACTTTTATGTCTGTAATATTTCTAATATCTTGTGATTTTATAAATTAATCAGTAACTTAATTTATGTCATATTTTATCATAATAGTATACATTAAAAATATGTGCTATAATTATGAATTTTAATTTAATATCATACACACCCTATAGGTATAATAACTCAAACTCGAATCTTTAAAAAAAAATAATATCTTTTTACCATTGAATTATAAATCATTAGTTTTATTATTTGATTAAATTTTTTTATAAAAAACTATAAATAAAATTAACACATGCATTGAGTCACGAACTAGTTTAAACAGATTAAATTGCATAAAGTTAGTAATCTATGCATTCTAAATCATAAAGGTGAAATTATATTATTAAGATGGTCTCTTACTGAGTTTTAAAATCAATTTTTTTTAAATTTTAATCATAGTTATTTTAAATAATTAAATTTCATAAAATATATATTTAAAAATTATTTGATTAAATTTTTTTAGAATTATTTTTATATTTTTATTAATAATAAATTTTAAATAATAATAAGTTCACATTAAAAGATTTTGATAAAAAATTCAGCAATGAACAGAGAATAAATAATTAAAATAGTATAACTAGGGGTGATTAATGAGTTGAGTAGCTCGAATTTGACTCGGTAAAAACTAGACTCGAGACCTTAACGAGTTGAGTCGAACAAAGTCCAACTCGACTCGATAAGTTCACGAACATCTCGTTAATTTTTTATTTTAATATATTTGTAGATTGTTACTTTGAAGCTTAGACTTTAAAATTACTTCATACATTCTTTTGATAATTTTTTTAATTAAATTTACTAATTTATGTTTATATTAAGCTGGGGTGATGTATGAACGTCTAACTTGGTGTGATGGAGTTCTGTGTAAGGCAAATGGGGAGCTTCGTCTAATGTTCTTGGATCAACGGTTAAGTTGGGGATTGATTTTTCGGTCATTACGGGCATTAGAATATCGTTGGAAGTTCTAACTGAAGAAAAGGAGTTGGGTGCAGGGGAGTTCATGGTGGAAGGCGACTCAGAAATAGCTACGGATTGGGTGGAATTTCCACCTCATCGGCAATGGAACGGTGGTCTATGCTTCTGGAAGTGTACAGACTGAGGCGGAAAATTGAGTTCATTCATCTCAATCATTTTATTTTTTACCGAAGAGGAAATGGCTTATTCTCTCAGGTGGGAATTGAAGGTATGCTTAGAAGAGAGTTGGTCAAAGCTTGGTGGTAAGTGACTGGGGTTCTGGTTCTTTCTGTGATATTTTCTGATGTGATTGTTAGTATTGATAGTTATGATTTTGGTTTTTTGATTGCTGGAGCTATATATTGTTGGGTGCATGGATGCTGAAAATTTTTTGGCCATGTGTGGTGGTCTTGTAGCTGGGTTATAAGCGAGGTATTATAGTGTTGTATTTTGTTTAGTTTGGTTTAACAGTCGAGTTGAAGATTTGTTTTCCCATGGGTGTGAATACTCTTTTCTCCACATAGTATTAAGGAGGTTTTTAACAGGCTCATATTCAAGGTTAAGGCGTTTATGTTTAATAAATAAATTCTTTTTGCCCAGAAAAAAAGAATAAATTTTATCTATAGTTAAAAAAATAAAGTAAATTTCGGTTAACTTGATGAATGACGAATATCGAGTTTAACGAGTAACGAGCATAATTAATAACTAACTTAACGAGCAACGAATCGAGTCAAGTAATAAAACTTTTAATGAGCACAAATTAAGCACGCCATAACTCGCGATCTACTCGCTTGATAAACTGTAAGTATAACGTATGCAATGACGTCTAGCTGTAATTCAGATGCATGCATTAAGAAAAAAAAGAAAAGGACCCACAAGGACGCACAACGGTGAAAACTCACCTGCTTGAGGCCCCATGTGCCTCATCAGAACAAGATATAATTCTTTAAGATAATGTGAAAAAACTGACCACCACATAAAGGTCATCCACTTAAACACTCATATTCCCACTTACGTATAAAGCAGTTACCCCTGAAATTGATAAACGCCCATCTGAAATGGAAGAAACAACAATTCTTTACTCGTCTCTTTCCCTTATCTTCCTTCTCGTTTGTTTAAACTTGTTCAAATCAAAGAAACACCCCAAAAACCTCCCTCCATCCCCACTTTCACTCCCCATACTCGGCCACCTCCACCTCCTCAAACCGCCTGTCCACCGTTTCTACCACCGTCTTTCTCAAATATACGGTCCAGTCTTCTCCCTCCGCCTTGGCTCTCGGTTTGTAGTAGTGGTATCATCTTCGACCGTGGCGGAGGAATGCTTCACTAAGAACGATGTACTTTTGGCTAATCGTCCCAAGTTGATCATATGGAAGTACATCGGCTACAACTACACCTCAGTTACAGCCTCATCCTACGGTGATCATTGGCGCAACTTACGTCGTATCAGCGCCATTGAAATCTTCTCGTCTAGTCGTCTCAACGCCTTTGCGAGCATTCGGAAAGATGAGGTCCGGAGGTTGTTGGTGAAATTGTCGCGTGACTCGCGTCGAGGGTTTGCAAGAGTGGAGCTCAAGTCCATGCTTCATGACTTGACTTTCAATAACATAATGAGGATGCTTGCGGGGAAGAGGTACTACGGAGATGAAGTGATGGATGACGATGAAGCGAGCGAATTTAGGGAGCTTATAGCACAGGCGGTTAGCTATGCCGGATCGGGAAATCGTTCAGATTTCATGCCTTTGTTGAATTGGTTTGGAGGGTATGAGAAGAAGGTGAAGAAGCTTGGAGAAAAGATAGACGGATTGTTGCAAAAGTTAATAGATGAGCACCGGTGTAAGCAGCTGTATAATAATACTAATAATAATAATAATAGTACAATCGACCACCTTCTTAACTTGCAACAATCTGATCCTCATTACTATACCGATGAAATCATCAAAGGACTCATGTTGGTTAGTTGAAATCTTCTTTCTTCAAGTTCCATCGTTCCTATAATCAAAAACCATGTTAATATATATAGGATTCTTTATATCGCCTTGTCAATAACAAGCATGGTCATTTTGCAGGTGCTAATATTTGCAGGAACTGATACATCAGCAGTGACCTTAGAATGGGCAATGTCCAATTTGCTAAACCATCCAGTTGTATTGAGGAGGGCTAAAGCTGAAATAGACAGTGAAATAGGGGAAGAAAATCTGATAGATGAATCGGATCTCCCAAAGCTGAAATATCTTCAAGGTATTATATTTGAGACTCTTAGATTATACCCTGCAGCCCCTCTTCTGCTCCCACACGAGCCATCTAGTGATTGCACCGTTGGTGGATACGATGTTCCGCGTGGCACGATCGTGTTGGTGAATGCATGGTCCATTCATAGAGATCCAAAATCATGGGAAGATCCAACAAGTTTCAAGCCAGAGAGATTTGAAAATGATGAGAAATTAGGGGGAGAAGGTGACTTGGGGACTCACAATCTAATGCCATTTGGGTTAGGAAGAAGGGCATGTCCAGGAGCAGGGCAAGCTCAACGAGTGATGGGGTTAACCTTAGGAGCATTGATTCAATGCTTTGAGTGGGAAAGGATTGATGGCAACGCAATTGATATGGTTGAAGGAACAGGAGGCACCATGCCTAAAGCTCATCCCTTGAAGGCTTTGTGCAAAGCTCGCCCCATTGTGGATAGAACTTTTATACTAATTAGTTGGAGTTTTTTTATAGAAAAAAGTTGTATACTTTTATTGATTGTATTTAGTTATAATGAAGCAAATGGAATAATAACTTCTGAAGCACTTGTATTGGGATGTTATTAATACATGTTTTTGCGGAATTCGTCCTATTTTATACTAATATTTTAACACGTTTTCTTATTAAACGTTTTTAAGTCTTGTTCGTCTTAATATTAAATGTTTGTTATTTTTCTTTCTTTTATTTATGCTAAATTATAATTAATATTTTGAAGTTTATTTTAAATTTTAATTATATAAATAAAAAAATCAATAATAATAAATAGAAAATAATAATCAATTTTTTATTCTCACAAGTTAATTGTATAAAGATTTATATGATTTAAATTTTGAAATGGGATGATTTTACGTTTTATACTCTTAGCAAATCATAAGATGAGAATAGAAAAAAACTTGACGGGAACTAATGCAGAAGTAGCATCTCAAACTCGCCCAACCCTAATCTAGGATAAATTACTTAGTGTCGATGGCAACAAATGGGCTATCACGATTGTAACGAAACGAATTTTTGGGTCAACATTCGAGTGTTGAATCAAGGTTCAATTGAATTGATTGATCATAGAATGGAGTTTCCTTGGGTCAAATTTGAGTATAATCGTGTGAGTAATCATTTTAATTGGTGATAGAAGAGGGGTTTGAACTTGAGATGAAGGAAGAGGGGACCCAGAGGGCAATTTTCTGAATAAAGAAAATTGTGCCTAATTTAGTAGGATTTTAATCTAACTTGCTCTAACTTTATGGGGCAATTTGCATAGCCCCTTTTTTCTTCTCTTGCCTAAACTTTATCCTTCATAGCTCTCCATTTTCATCTTCCTTTATCTATTTACTCAAGCAAAAACTACAACAAAGCTGCAATCTTTCTTCTTCCTCTACATCAATCTAAAAATCCAAGGTAAGAATCATGATCTATGAATTATGAGCTCCAAGATAAGCTCATCATCTTCTTCTATAGTGACCATGAGCTCATTTTGGGTTTTACAAAAGCTTAAGCTCCAAGAGTTCCTCCAATATTTTCATTCGAATTATATGTAACCTAATTGTTTTTTAGCCAGTTATAATAATCATTTCAATGTCGAAATAATTTTTGTGGCTTTGGATTAGTGAAAGTGTCGTGTGAAAGCCCCAAGGGCAAGAGCAGGGAGGATTCGGCTCTAGGTGAGCTATAAAGGTTTTGAATTGCTTAGAAGTTGAGGTAACACACCCTTGACTCCACCTTACTACTTGTAGATCATATACATTAGTTTGTTTGCTTGTATTAGGCGGTTAGAGCATATTGTTTGGTTTTGGTGTTCATAGATTGTAGAGAAAGATTTGGACGTTAGAAATAAATGAATATTATGTTTTTTATGATCCCTCAATACTTCTATAAGCTTTATTAATCAAATTAGTCCTTGAACCAACTGTTTTGGATGAGTTTGGGTTGATTTTCATGTGAAACAAGCCAATTATGAGTTTGAGTATTGGTACCATATGAATTAATATCGACACTATTATTCAAAGGAAAAAAAGTAGATTTTTTTAAGGGGTATCGATGCATGTTCATAAGGTATCGATATTGTTCGTTTTATATCAATACCAAAGACTTGGTATCAATATTAGGGGTATTTTAAACCAATATTGGGGCTAGTTTTGGTAGCAATACTTAAAGGAAGTATTGATACCCCATAGGTGAGTATCGATACTCAAGGCATGATATTGACAATAATGATTATTAAGTAAACTTTAAGGCTATTTTAGGTACCGGTATTCAAGGAGAGTATCAATAGCTATGTGTCGGTATCTATACCATCAGTGGAATTTGGTTAATGAACATTGAATTATCTATAAGAGCTTGAGAGTGATGAGTCTATCAATTAAAAACTTAAAATTGGAAACTTAAGAATATGTGAATGATTAATAGCATGGAGTTTAATGATGTGTTGAAAAGAATAAGAACATTATGATAAGAGGTTTTTATAAAATTATGTCTTTGCTTGACACTCAAGAAATAAAGAGGACACTTGAGTTATTTATTTATGACGATCGTCTGATGTGTTTGATGGGTTATTCGGATATCCTAAGAGTCATTCCAAGTCACTTAAAGTAATGATAGTCGAATGTTGATATAATGCTCTTGTGACCTAAAATCATTCAGATATTCTAGAGTTGTAGATTAGTTGGATGTACGTTCTTGATGCGTATGTCAAACAAGTTTTAGTTGAGGTATTTATCCATCGAGGGGTCATTTGGATGTGCGTTCTTAATGCATGAGTGACCCGGGTTGCATCCAAAGTATCAACGTTGTGGGCTAGATGAGTAGGAGTGTCATATGTTATGATAACCTTATACTCACTACTAGAAAAAACCCCTTTAATGACGTGCAATGCGCGTCATCTATGGGTGCAGATGACACACAAATTCGCGTCATTGAAGCCACCGACATAAATATCAGATGACGTGCAATTGTGCGTCATAAATCTATGGCGCGCATTTATGACGAGCATTGCGCGTCATTGAAGCCCCGTCATAAATGAAAATGACACACATTTTTGTGTCATAAATTTATGACACGCATGTATGACTTACATTGCGTGTCATTGAAGCCCCCATCATAAATGAAGATGACACACATTCGTGTGTCGTGATTATATTTCGTAAATTATATATATTGTAGATTGACAAATAATCAAACTAAATCACATTTAATGCCTCATAATACTAAATATATATATCATTTTTATATATAAGCAATCCATTTGCATACAATATATTCACATTAAGTTATAAAAAATATTGTAATCATTTGTCGATACAAGGAACATATAAAAACAAATTAAAAAACAAAAACCTGATTCAGCCATTAATCACACAGTAACTTCATAATCCTACTACAGTAAACTTGAACATCTAAAAACTAACAAAAGCAAAATATATTCATTCAAAAGTTGAAGGAATATAATGAATACAGAACCTTTTACAGCAAAAAGTACCATAGTCTCATCTGCATCCCCCTCTTTGTTCTCTTCTTCTATCTTTTCAGAATCAGAAAGCAAACCTCCAGCTTTCTCCAAGCGTTCTTCTAGGGAATCTTCAAGTAACTATGAGAAGTATAAGAAGCTCAAAGTTAAAAAAAATATTAGAAATATGTGAACAAGTATGAAAATGCGTATTTAAGTGGAGTACAAATAGGATTCAGTATAGAGTTGATGGCAACAATAACCCTTTTACTTTCACTAATGGAAGGAGAATTATATCTGTTAAATCCATGTATAATTATAAGACCAGTTCAGCAACTCACTCCCCAGAAGAAACTGCAAGGAAACAAAGAAAACAATATTCAAACAACACCTCTTTTGCATACGTAACATGCAGAATATGAACAATGAAAATGGCATCACCTTGAAAGTTAATGTGTTCATTGATGACCCCAAGCATTGTAGTGGATTGCGTTTTATGTAAATATTGCAACAGAAGATCATATGAATATTGTCGAAGTGATTGACAACAAATTCAGCAGTAAATGAGGAAACAAATAGATTCTTTTCTTATCTATTAGCAGTTACCAAAGAAACAATTTAAGGCTTTTACCTGACATATTTTGATGTTAACATTAGATAAGTACGATGATTAAATATATTGTGTTTTACTAAAATTAAAATTAAGCACTTACATTATATAACAAGTAATCGCAGAACTGGGATTTTTCTATCTCCTGATTAAGTGAACGGTCTGTTAATGCCCTTATTTTACTCTGCCTAAGAGAATGAGAAAATTCCATCTTCTGATAGAAAAAACATCTAGGTAGCAGCATTATATAAGAGAAAAATGATTCAAACCTTCAATATATAATTGTATGCTATTGCACCCATTGAAGCTGAAGTGATACCCTCACAGTTGTCAAGCTTAAGAATCGTTAACATTGGTAGTCTTACAGACTTCATAGAAAGCGGCACTAATTAGAACTAAATTAACCATTTGCAAAAACTGACCTCAAGAGATATGTTAGGACAATATGAAGAATTCAGAACATGGAGAACAGAACAAGAGCGAGTTATTTTTTGCAATGCTTCATCACTAACACACGAACAATTTGACATGTCTAAAGAATCTAATTGAGGGCAAGAAGTCACTGCGGAACGAATTACTGCATCTGTAAGTTTATGGCATGCACTTATATCAAGCAGCTGTAAAAGGGGGCAATTAAGGGCTGCTTGTGCCATATTACTACGTTTCAAGGAAAAACTCTTTAAAAGTGGGAACCTACAAAAGATCAGATGTTAGCATAACGGAAGAACAGATTGACATCAAAATATAGTTTACAATCAAATCTAGATTTTGCTTCACCTGATGGATATGCGCATCACACGGTATTTAGTTACTTTCATATCACATAACCTATCATGGTTAATAAGTATCTCTTAACCACCATCACCGAGAATAGCATCATTCACATCCAAACTCCTTAACATACCACACTCAATCAATGCATGGAAAAAAGCATCCCCTAGTAGCCCTTTTCCCAATGTTAAAGCCTTAAGATTTCTACCAATCAGAAATTTTTATACACATTAATAAGAGGCTGTGCAAAATTCATTTTATTAGAACATAAAATATGTCAACAAAATATTATCGTGATGAATGGACAACTTTCATAACAAGAAGTTGCATGCTAGGAGTGCCACTCAGGTTCACTTCAGTGGAATTTGGATATCTTTGACAAATGTCATTAACTACAAGATCAAAATGCAATGTTATTGCAGTATGGCATCCAGTTTCATTACATCAATGTACCATTTTCTCTTGCAAAATAATATTATAATCGAATACCCATATAATTTTATTATCTAAAAAATAGTGTCGACTCCAAGCAATTTGTAAACTTTGTTTGGAGTAGATTGTTTAAAATAAATGAGAACTAAGTAAAGATATTGAGAAAATCTGAGACTCACATTGTTCAAGAGATATATTCCGGTTTTCCAAGTT